GTAGGGAAAACTAAGCTTTTACGTTAAGAAGTCAAAAATTTTCGTAAGTTTTTTTGAGCACGTAATAAACCCATAAAATAAGAAGAAAATTCCCCATTTTGTCCAACTCATAATTTTCTACATTTAAAAATTGTTATCAAACTCGCAGAAACTAAATAACATAGTAACTTTTCGAAAATAGAGATTTTACTCTAAAAGCCCTTTTTTATAATTTAAATTTTGTTTATTTTTAACGAAGTTATGCTGCTTGAATTTTGAAGTAACGCTATTTTTGTTCTAAAAAACTCGATACTTAATACAATTTACATGTCAAGAAAGAACTTGATTTACTTTAATTTAATTTCTCTTAACCCACATCATCTATCCATATCTTCTATTAGTATTGTAGTTAACTAAAATCCGTGCTATTGTTATTCTTTAAATCTTCCCCTAAAATTTATTTTATACTTATTTATATTTCAAAAGATAATATTTCTTAAGGTTAATTAATTGCAAAATACATACACATATATATATATATATATACATACACATATGCATATAATGCAAACCTCGTTTGAAGTCTAATCCAGTCTAATCTTTATAATGGAACGGCCGCCTCAATTAGGCAGGACTTATTTTCGCCGAGCCGCGATGTTTGAGCGTGCATTTGTAGCCACGCGTCATCGCCACGCGCCGCTCGTTATACCCCATCGCCGATGGCGATTGTTTCCCCTTAACCGCGCGAAAAAATGATTGCTCTAAGTCCGCGTCACCGAGCTGAACGCGTTGCAATAATTGCAACGCAGTGAGTGAATCACGAGTGAGAAGACGAGGGATTTATCTCCGCAGAATCTCGCGATCATTTTGCGTCAGCATTCGTGACGCGACACAATTATTATATAATTCATTTGATGAACTAAACAGGAGACGAAATACGCGCACGCATCGTATTTTCGCTTGAAGATTTGGAAAGATTCATTTCTTTCACAATTGTAAATTTTATCCAGACAAAGTCTAAAATCGGATCATAAGACGTCTTTAAGGCTTGAGACGTATTACTTGAAAACGCTAGCACAGACACACACACACACACACACACACACACAACAATTTCCTTTATTAAAGGGAAAATCTAATATTAAACCAATTTATTACTGAAACAGTAATCTTTTGATACTTAAAACAAGTAATGAATTACTTTCAGTACTAAATTAACTAATATTAAATTAACTTTTCGTAAGCACGTTGAGCCTTTTTTGACCCAGACGAAATTTTATTCTCAAATTTCTTGGTACAAATTTCAATTTTTATTAAATTAAATTTTTGTTAAATCAAGATTTTAACATTTGAGTTAAATAACTATTTAGCAATTTAACAAACATGTTGAAAAATAATCCTGAAATTTTCTAGATTTGAAAA